TCTCTCTCTCTCTCTCTCTCTCTCTCTCTCTCTCTCTCTCTCTCTCTCTCTCTCTCTCTCTCTCTCTCTCTCCCCTCTTCTCTCTTTTTAAATGTATATGCGTGTGTATGCCACTGTAAATTGCTTCTTTAAATGCACTCGCCTATTTCAGTCGATCGAGACACCGGAACGCGTCTTGGCTAATCCCTGCATTTTTCGGGTGGGCGAAAAAGACAGCTAACTAAACGAAACATTTTGCTCGCGCGCTGATTAAAAGTTACAAAAAATATTGAGTGCTTGCATAAATTATAAATATCAATCAGAGACCAACCAAGACACCGCTCTCCCTTGATCTTAATCAAATAAACCGTGTAAGTTAGCGTACATCGACCAAGAACGTAAAAGGAAAACAATAAGTACGTAAACATAATGTCATAACGAATTTATGCTACGTTACGTTATGTACAAGTTCCCTTCAAAACTTCCTCGGAAAATGAACGGAAAACGGAAGAAATGTCAGTCCAAAGAAAATAAGAATGAGAAAAATGAAAGAGACGAATAAAGAACAAGACATCGACGACGTGCGTCGATTAGCGATGATCTCGCTAATAATGACCTACATATGTTAATATTTAAGTACATTGATTAACCGATGTTCTCATAAGTACCACAATAAGTACCTAGCAATCGCTCCCTGTGCTGCTTTACAATGTTTACTCCTTCGTTTAACTTCTCTTTGTTACCTTTTGATTTTCGGGACGGACGGAAGGTGGCTCGAAAAACCAAGTCCATTTTTGCCGAACAACTCGCAATGACGATAAAGTTTCTTTTTTTCGCAGAAAATCGCACTCTTTGCTTTACAATCCCTAAATTGCTTTAATCGATTATCCGATTAAATCGATTACAATCGAAGCGATGATATTTCTAAATGCAGTTTGCCGTGTGGAAGAATATCAATCTAAGTATGCTTTTTATTTAGCGTGATTAAATAAATTACATTAGGTGCGATATCGATGAAATCGCATGGCCAAATGGGCTGTGTAAATCTTTCAGGAATGCCTATGTTTATAGTACATATCTACATAGATATGTATAATACATACATATGTGTTTATTATAGAATGTTCGTGACACTTGACCTGCTTTCCTAAAAATAATGCAAGGATTTCTCTTTAAGACCAACTAACTAAGTATGTAAATAAATTATAAGTTGACATCATACGAATACGATGCATCGTTATTATACAAGTCATTTTATAAGATACTATTACAGCCGGGCTTCTCTATTTTTCATCATCAGAATCGAATTGACTTGCCTATTTTTGATTTTCCTCTGAGTTTCCATCCATGTCCCCTATCTTTGATGAAAATTATTAGAATATGAGTGAGAACTAAAGAAAACTTAAAAGACAAGTAAGATTCAGAGAGGAAAAAAATATGGAAGCTCGATTGTACGCTTCGATTGAACTTGATGGAAAAATTCTTCTCATTGCTGAGTCGCCGACTTAATGAATGATTTCCACGTTCTCTGCAATTTCTTTATACTCCTCCTACGCGTTACGCTTTATATAATTAATTTATGTACAATGCATACACATGCCTCAGTTATCCCTTTTAATATCTTTCTTGGCCTTTCTCGATGTTTACCCTCGATCCGTTTCGAAAAACCGAAAGTGCAGCCGTTAGCTTGAAAGACAGAAAGCTGCGAGGCGCAATACTGATATTTCACGGGATACTATCAATTACTAATTGGGACTGAGGAAACCCGTTAATTCGCTACGACGTACATCGTCGACCGCGATTAGTTCGTAGATAGATATGAACTCGCATCTGAGGATCAGCTCAGCAAACAATTTTCGCAACTATTGTATTATTACAGAGCGGAAGCACCGTCTCGCATCTAGATTCTCGAAGAAATCGTTCCGCGAGCGTCGTCCTCGTGCGAGGATTTCTTACATTATCATCCCGCAGTCCTCGGTCCTTAGAATAAATGCAACACGATCGTGTGTATAATAGACAACGATAATGCAAGACACGTACTGTCTCCGCTAAACCTTCAACAGCTAATCTTAAATAATCTAGGGTGTTTTTCTGCCGGCTACGGGACGATAGTCTGTGATACCCGAGCTCACGATCGCTCATCCTCTGCTACCACGCGGCGCAACGACCTTCAGCAAGTTTCTCACGATACTTGATAATTTATTCGAACCTGTTCGCTTAAGTACTGGCCACTTCACGTCAATATCACAGTCTCTCATGGATGTTAATCCCCTTGCGAAATAGCCACATCTCACGTTCAGCGAAACGTGTCTATTCGCGCTCGTCTGAGCCGGGTGAGCCCGCCGGAAATGCAAGTTCCCTTCCAGAGGAAGGTACTTCACTTCGTGATCCGGGTCGCGGTACGACCACGAAGTACAACTATACTACATACTTTTCTTTTGGAAAAAAAAAAACAGTAAAGGTGCAGCGTAATCTTGGGTGCATACAATTTCGTTTTTCATGCAGAACGACGATAACCGCTCGGTTCGAGCCTAACTCTACTCAAGATAATTGGGATATCCAATTACAACATCGCGTGACAAACATTTAAGTATAATTATTGGTACCGTCGGGAACTATGCTCGTACGTGTACTTCGCGACATCTATTGCTTCTTCTTAATCGATTAACGAGATGTAGCCTATTATTATCGGTGCGTGAAACTTTGTGTCCCCTGTCTGCTTATGCGTTTATGCGTGTCTTATTTTTGCTTTTACTGAGGTCGTTAAGGCTGTGCGCGTATACTTATCTATCTAGAAAGTATTTTACGGAGACTTTTGTGCTGGTTCAGTTCGCTGCTACCGTCGTTGCTATCAAACGCCGACTCGACAAAAGGTATCGTCGCGCTTTCTCCGCCCTCGGCTTCTTATCGATCTTTCCAGCGACTCGTAGTTGAACGTGCTACCTAACCGGAAACCAGACCGCGTCATCACGCGGTCGAGGCTACGCGATTCATGTGTAGTACTTTCGATCGTGTGAGGGATCGAAGCGCGAGCGGGCGTGCGGCCGCTATGTACTCGAGCGGAAATACTTGGCGACGTTATTAATAAACTCCTGACGCTACAATTGTACTTGAAACGCCTGGGTCGCGTTCGGCACGATGAAGGGATTCGTCGTGGTCGACTGCCTTAGATTTCTGGCGGCGATTTCCGCCCATTCGACGTCAAACGGATCGGAAGGTCCTCCTCTGGAAGTCTGGCTCATTGCAGCCGACCCGAGCGAATGCGCCCTCGCGTGAAGAGGGGGTGCTCGTCGAGGACTAGTCTGTTGCGGCGCCGGCGACGGCACGGAGCCGGTTATGCTACCCAACCATTGTTCTGGTTTTGGTAAACCAGCTGCTGTGGAAAGTGGTTGTACCTGTTGAATGGAGAAACTCGTGAGAAAACGTTTCGGCTTAATATCGCAGACTAAAAAAATCTTTTTTATATTATCTATACTAGAAAATGGAATAAACATTTACCCAGAAAATAATAGCCGACGAATTGAATATTTTATTTTAAAAGCAAAGAATGAATTATTTATACAGTTTTAAAAATTATAGCACTACATTACGTTTCAATAAGATTTTCTTCAATTTGAAAAATTTATAAGAAGCATATAATATAAGAAGTAGATTTTTCTTGTATCAGGAGACTTATTTATATACTGCGGTAAACATTCAACTTACTAAAGCTGTTGGAATGCCGGTTGCCGATGAAACTTGAGCGACGTCAGTCGTACTGGCCGGGGAAACAGATGCTGTACTGGTACTGGGAGAATTTGTTTTCGGAGTTATCGCTGAATTTATTGGAATTGGCGATCTGTTCACGGCCGGCGTAGACGTGTTTCCTAAAGAGGATGTAGAAGCCGTGCTGAAAGCAGGACTCGCTGCAGACGGTGGCGTGCCGAAAGCACCCACACTGGAGGAAACAGGTGCGCTCATAACAACTGGAGTGGGCGCATTCGTCCTTGGAAGAACGGGACTCAGGTTGCTTGTCTTAAGGATGGGCGTCAGCCTGTGATTCGACGCAAGAACAGGGGATGCCGATTCCTGCCAGCTGGGTCCGACATGATTCAGACTGCTGAGTTCATCATTCTTATCGTTGTTGTTATTGTTATTAATACTGGGGCCGTTCTGCAGTTTTATCTCATCCAACGAATTGCTGTTCGTGACTGAAAAGGATATAAACCGTCTTATGAAAATTATAATTTGAATGCACTGCAAATATTGACTGAAATAGAGAATGACAAAATAATTTGCAGAGTTTTTTTTCTGAAAAGTTGTACCTGGAGAAGTTGTAAAAAGCTGCTTGGCGATAGAGCTCGCAGCATAAGATAATGGCATTGGTCCGAAATCGTCGCTGCTCGAGAGCAGAGAAAGCCCTCGAGAAAGCTGCTGACACATCGCGGAGACGCTGTCCTGACCACCGGGAGATATTTCCGGTATTGGACTCACTGGGCGGAGAAGCAAAAAGAGATCACGTTTATTAACATTATATTTAATGCAATTCAAATGTTGCAACATGGTGCTGGGATGCATGCTATATAAGGCATGCTACAGGATGTACAAATATGTGTCAGGATGAGTGTAAAGTGGGAGTATGTAGGGTGGCATTGAATAATTTTCAATGACAAGCACGAGCAAAAAAACACATTGGGATGGAATAAAATTACGTTTTAGCTACACTCTCGTAGTGTCGTGGAATCAGTTCATGTCTGCTTAACGCAACCATGTGAAATACTGTGTATGTAGAAAACGAGTATGTTCAAGGGTAGTTTGAGGAGCAAGCAACAATGGGATTAACATGGGGGAAGAACAAATAATGACCTTCGTCATATCCTTCGAACTCTGTTGTAAAAACGGAGAAGCATATCGTTATTCAATAATCAGATTCATTTAAATTAATAGTATATAATTATATCGCGTATATACTTGTCAGCAGTTGATTCACTCGCTCATTAATAATTGTCCGGTACGATTTTAATAAAATAGGAATGAGAGAGAAACAAAGCCATAAACACTCACCTGGGGGCTTTAAAGGTACAATGTGCGAAAGCGCTGATGGCATTCGCGACAAATCCGTCGGTTCGAGACTGTGACTACGTGTGCGTTCGAGATTACTAGGAAGATCGTTAACTCGTAGACTGAGCTGCCTCTTAAACGGAGATGCTTGATTTAATTGCGTAAAACCGCGGAAGGAACCCTGTCGCTCCAGCATAGATGGAGTAGCGTGTGGCCTCTCGATCGCGAAAGGATTGTACACCTGCTTAACCGGAGGAACATCTGAAAAACATAAATCTGTGTAGTAAAGTATACATATATATTAATAGCAAATATTTGTTTCAACGTAGAAACAGCACAATATATTCAAGTGCATTCGACAGGCTGATAAATATTTTTAATTACTTGCACAAATTTATAAATTTATTTTTCCAAATATATTTTATAAATAGATTTTCAAAATTTATAGGAAAATTTTAAAGAATAATATTTTACAAGATTCTATCTGTTAGACTGTTTCTAAATGAGAATATTATTTAATAGATTGCAATATGTACTGACCTACTGCACGATCGCGCGATTCTTGCAATCGTTCCGTGAGACTTGGTTGCCTAAAACTACCGCTTCTCGTGAAGGTGGAAGTCTTCGAATCAAAAGTCATTGTAACACCGCATTCTTTGTCCCTTCGCTGTTTCCTCTCGAGGCACGCGGCGAAAGCGCAACCCACTGCGTGACTCAATCTCTCTCCCTGTGACAAAGAATAAATCCGTCAAAAGGATATCCTCATTATCCATATAAGAATAATTTAAAAAACTAACGAGTCATTTATATTTTATTCCTAGATTGAAGGTAATATCAAACATGCATATTAGAACCGATAAAAACTACACACAAGTCTTAATCAACAGAAATATACAAAAACTAGAAGGCTTGGTGATTTTCATAAAAATTACATAAATTAAAAATTAAAAAATGCCATAGAAAACATATCTATTAGCAATTACAAATATGTGCCTTATATAAATTTGCTTCTTATATTATCACTATCATATCCGATGCTGCATATATTCTCAATTCTACTGCACCAACTAATGCATCCCTTATCGATAGAGTAAAGCACCCCTTGTACGAGAGGATAACTATCCCTTCAAATGGGGTAAAAAGATATCTAACTTACCGATTCTTTCAACGCTAAAAATCCATGACACATCCACCGCCTCGTCGTGCCGTCCCTACAGATATAACTAAATCCCTTCTCGTGATTTCTGTCCGGCGCACAAAATGAAACCTTCTCGATTGTCTGATCGACAATCAACCCTTTTGTTTCATCCTCGACGACGCGCAGCCCGTCTCCGGATACATGAAGTATCGCTCGTACCGGTCTTCGTCTTGAATTCTGAAAAGTTAGTTGAGAATCACTCGTTTGCTCGAGTTGCCCTTTGACCTTTAGAATGCTGATTTATTTTCAGACTATTTGGTGTCAATGTCGGCTCTTTATATGTAAGCTCCGATAAATATAGTCAAGGCGAAGGACTTGGAAAATATAACGCGTCTGACTTTCACAAGGCTTGTCAACTTTCTTTGGAGCTTCTTGAATACTTAAAATGGAAAGACCTTCATAAAAAATGACTTGTTATTTCTAAAATTATCTATTCCTATATTTTCTTATAAATAAAATTAATTGTATTTATAAAAGATATAATAAGTAAAAAGCAAATCACTAAGTAAAAATTGACACTTTTAACTAATTCGTAGAAGAGTTGTATTGAATTTTAAGAAATATTTGTCATAAAATACTTACTCGGAGAACTTTGAGAGCTTCCTCGCAAACCTGCATACCTCTCGATTCGAACACCTCTACACATCCCAGGTACTGTAAAGATATCAGTTAAATTATTCATCCGTCAAAAGGCCAATTCTAATTTTGTAAAATCTTTGTTTAACTTTGATTAACCCTTAACATTAAAGTCGGTACTAAAAATGATATGCATTTTCGATGTTACATTAGCAAACAAGAAAAACTTAATTATGCAAATTAATAATGAATAATTGTTTCGAACAAATAATAATTATTCAAAATTAATTATTCCGAGCAAATAATAATTTTCCAACGATACAAATTTATGAATAATCAATAATTTACAGCATCTCAAAAATATAGTAGCAAATAGAATAAACCTAATTATAACTTTGACAAGGAATGCCAAACACAACAATCCTAATCATTTTGATAATTTTGATACATGATCCAATTAGATGGCGTTATTAATTTTCATATTTAGATGGCGTGAAACTTTCGCGTTAGATTTTCGCTTACCTTAACATGAAAAGCGCATGTAGCTGAACGCACTGCACTCTCATCAGCTTGCCACTGATGAGGTTTGCTAGATTCAGGCACGTGAGGGTCTTTCCGCCGACGGAAACTGTCCCGGAAACTTCGTCGAAGCCGATCCATCCTTTTTCCCGGCGACCTCTCGCGCTTCTATAACAGCGAAGCAGAAAAAAATACGATTTATTTTCTGCAATTCGGTCAATAGTTCAAGCGACATTAATGAAGGGCTTCCCCTCGAGAGTGACGAAGGATTAACATCCCGTGGCGAGTAAACATAGGGTCGACCTCACGTCAATCCTCATGAGATGGAAAATGGAAATTGCAGGATTTAATCGTACAAGTCGTAGTATTATAACAGACGTAAAAAAAGTAGTTATTATCTTAATATAAAATATTAATAATATTATAATCGTAAAAATAGAAAAAAGAAAGAGCATTATGACAGTGTAAAAACGTACATTGAAAAAAATGTACATAAATCATTGGTTGGTTTGTTGGGTGTAAGCGAATATTAAATGAAGCAAAATTGTAATTCAACTCATTATATTTCGACATACTGCACATGATTAAAACCGACAAACTTTAAAAAAATGATTATTAATTTATATGATAAACTGTACTTAATTGTTAAAATTTGTTTCTAAGAGGAACAAACTTATATCGTGGAAGAGCTTTAATTAGACAGTTTGGAGTCAGGTGTTATTAATGTCGATGAAATTGCTCTCTCCATCTGCATCGTGAAAATTACAAGGATTTAATAACGGCCAAGTCAATGGGGAAATCTCAAAACGGGATCAGGATAGCAATCACGATGGCTACAAGTCTCCGTCGTCGCAATTGTCTTCTGATAAGGGATTCGACATCGACAAGGTAATCAGTCAGGACATAGCCGCGAGCAAATTCTCAAAGGATGCGATCAGGATCCTCCTGATGAATCGTTAAGACCCGAGCTTGAGAAAATGTCCAAAGCGGCCAGTGTCTGGCAGCCGTCGCGCTGAGTTGCCTGCTCGACAAAGCCCTGTGATCGAATCTTGAGACCCGTTCCCAAAGAATCTTTTATATCAGAACCCTCCTCTGGGTCTCCCCTAATACCGACTACAGATCTACCCTCTGAATCGGCGGCACCCCTAAGAGCTGGTCGACGGATCGAAAGCGGAGACACGTTATGAAGACCTTTCCTGTTCGTTCTCTGTATTTCCTCCCTTCATCATCGAGGCGTTTCCCTCTGTCTGTTCTTTAGTTTACTATTCGACTTCGCGAGGTTAATTGGACGATATTGCGTCACTTTATCAAACATCATGTCGTGATTTTTCGTATTTTCATATTAGAAGTATGTACCGTAACAAGAGTCAATTAAAAATCTATGTACTTTGATTAAATAATGACATATAATATAATACAATTTTTCTGATAAAATTTAAAAAAATTGTATGTTCAACGTTTTCACAACTTGAAATATTTCTATTTTGCTTTTTTTTTTGTCAATTTGTATGAGTAGAATTTTGTCAATTTGTATATTGTTAAATCTTTTGTTCTAATAAATTTATAAATTGACATAGATCAATAATAGCTCAATTATTCGCCTGTCGAAACCTGTGATGAACCGCATCCGTGAGTGTGGTATTTCTGTGGTAATAATTTTGAATAATGAAAACATCGATTAACCCTTCTGGTCTATTATGTTCATTTGCATTATCCATAATAAATAATGACTTTTAACAATCATATATAATTATTTTATGCTAGAATGGAACAATATATGTTTCAGTACATAAAATGGTCCTTTAAATTTGATATAATTACGTTTAAATGTACAAAAAAAATTTATTGTAATTGTTTATTTATTTATTATTTCATTTTGACATTAAATTTGTTAAAAAATTTTTTATTAAAATTTGTATTAAAATGCACTTGAAATTAATAAGAAAAGCTTTTGAATATCAAGATTGTTATTAAAGTCTCAATGAGAAAATGTCGAATATTCAAGCTTCTCAAAAAAGAATAAATGGAATGCACGGAATGCTAACATATTCTGCATTTATAATATTACTCATACATATTTCGCGCGATTGGTTGTATGGATAGAATTGTATGAGTGATATCACACATTGCGCAATGTGCATCTGTATTTTGAGTCCGCAATGAAATGCTTCGATATTTATCAAGTGTAGTTGCACGTGTGTTGCACCTATCTGCCGAACGTAATTAGAGCTTTATCGTGTTAGTTTGCACGCGGACCGATCAGATAATTCGCATCGCGATAATAAACGCAAGTAGCAAACTCATATTGCAGTTACGCAGATACAAGGTTATAGACAAACATTAATTTCCGCGAATCTCTCGTTATGATTCCATCTGGACACACTTTTGAAAAATCGAGAAACGCTCAGCAAACAATTTTGACGCACGCGTCGTTACTGAATTATTGAATGTTATTCACATCTCGCTGAACTGAACATCAGCGTATCATACATACAAAGTAAATCATAAAAATTCTTTATATATTACACACAGATATTTTACGAGCTCAAGAATATTAAGATTAATAAAATATTTTGTGTGTGTGTGTGTGCATCTAAATGGATTTAAAAGTTTTGTATTATTGCTAAGAAATGAGAGAGTAAATAATATAAAAATTAAAGAAAAATACATTCAAAGAATAATTTGTTAACAAATAAAATAATATATTTCTAATAAATAATAATAAATTTTTGCAAAATTTATTTATGTGACATATTATGCTTTATAAGAAAATTTTTGGATCAAGCATTTTCCATCAAGTATGATAGATATCTCAAATAATAGACACCTATTATTTTCGTCTCAAAGGATAGATATCTCGAATTCTTCACAAAGTATGTCGGAAAAATGTATAAATATATAAACCCATCTTTTTGAAGTATGATATCATCTAATAAATGTGTTATGCATGCATGTCTAAACTATCTGGACTTTTAAACTGAAGTAATTTTTTATTAGATAAACTACCAATTATTTAATGCTGCAGAAACAGAAGTTAAAGGTATATGTTTACCCGTCTTTTAAAAGTTGATAAAGTTTACGTACTGAAACCTTACGTAGCTTTCATGATAGATTAGATAAACCACTGGTCTTATCTCACGTTCAAAATATGAGGACATTCTTTTCAACTTTATATGATGTTTCAGATAATAAATATTGACAAATTATCTAAATATGTTCCGTACGGTCGCACTATCATTCATAGCATTTTGTGAATGTGACATGGAAAGTTAAAAAAAAAACACATTTTGGACTTGTTTTATTTAAATTTTTAATGTTAATGAGTAAAATAAATTTTATTTGTACAACGTATAGACAGTAATATACAATTTATTAAAATGTAAATTTTAAATAGAGTTTAAAGTTTGTTCCACAGAAAACGTACGCAGAGATAATTACCAATTTAATATAAATATGTGCAGAGTTCAAATGGCAATTGACGCACAATAATCCATGGTAATAACCATTATTTTAGGATCGAGGTCAGACATACGCAAGCATCTTCTATAAAGGGTATGATTTGATCGTAAAAGTCACTTTCACTTCGGCATACCGACACCGTACAAACCTCTGTCAGCCAATCGAAACAAAAATGAAAAGGACTGAACGCGATATAAAATATCTACTCTTAAAACCAATACAAATTTAAAAAACTAAAAGAAAATTGTGCTTGATATAAATTATAAATTTATATAATTAATAAAATCTTATAATTCTAAACATTTCTCTAAGATTCTCCATGATAATGTATTTTCGGAATACGTATTTTTATTATATAAAAATCAAGAACATTTTTAATATAAAAATATTGTATTATCGGCATTTATTAATTTTTTTTACGTATCTTACTATATTTATTATTTTATTTACGGAGAAGGTTAATATAGAAGCATTCGAGAAAAATGGAAAACTTTGGAATACACGTCACATATACATTATTTCTAGAAAATTATCAAATAGCTAAATGAGTATAGCTACGTGAATTTAGTTATGCAAGGATGCATTGTATTACTCACTGAAGAAAATTACAGATAATTATCTTTTGTTGCAAAGTTTATTACATAATGAAAATGTTTCAAATTAGATGCAATATAAGGTATTATAAAATAATGTATTAACTTATATTTTGGTATTTTTATAGTTGATTCAAATTATTTAGAATAAAAATTTAAATAACGTTATAAAAGTAATGACATTAGTCGTTAAAAAGTTTTAATAAAGCAGTTATTATTGCAATAATAAAATCAAAAAGATTTTTACATTAATGGTTATTACAATACATTAGAACGCTGATAAATTTGAGATTGCGTCTCACGTATCTCTCGTGTAGGGCTATCGAGGAAAAGGACCGGCACTATCATGCACGAGTGGCTGCATCCTACTTTTTTTGCGCGCAACACAACACTTCTCCGTGGAAACGATCGCATCTGGGATCACGTGCTCGATTAGAATAATACAGTCCAATAAAAATAATCGAGCCCTCATGTGACGATACCATCCGGCTTTTGGTTATCGTACGACGACCGATTAATAGCTAAAACGTGCGAAAGTAAGTGCTCTCAATGCAATCGGATTAGTGAGACTGTTTATTTAGCACGGTAATAGGCTTACTGATGCTCTACAGTAAAATGGTTGAATGCTCTGCGCACCATGCACTCTATTTATCGTGCCTACGTCGTTTCTCGTGCGAACGTATTGTGTCTTTATCAAGCGAGTGACGACCGAGAGGCATGATCGTGCCGAACGAACAATACTGTCTAGCATCGTGCTAAACAGCTTTGATCGACCAAATTAGACTGCGTTGTAACGCTTTGCACAGATTTAATTTGATTGCAGCGACGCGTTCAAATACAAGCAAACTGCTTTTTAATTGGCATGATGGGGAACGTCGCTTTTCTACCGGACAATGATTTGTTCCTTCCTTGACGTAACAGTTGTAACACAGCAATTTAGTAAATTTGTGAAATGTATCCTAACAATTAAAAGTTGGTAAATATAGATGGCGAGTAGAAAATATTATTTATCAAAATAATAATTATTTGGTTTCACATTTGATTATATTTATCACAAGACAGTAAAAAATATTTGGAATAATGTTATCTTTCATAATTTAATATTCAATAAATTTT